GGGGTTGGGCATAATTTCTGATTATTTTCCTTTATGATCATTCTTTGTTAGAATTAACAGAATCGCATAATGTTACGGTTTTGGGCTCAGTTTGCATAATTTCATTTTTTTTTAATTTTGGCTTAAAGCCGCGGGGACAGTAATATTAATATGATGTCAACAAGTGTTATATATACAAATGTTGGTTTGTTTACTTTACTTGTTTGTTTTTCTTTTGGTTTGGTTTGATTTTCAATTTTTTTTCGTTTTCCATGGCACAATGTACATGTATGTAGGCCACATGTAGCCTATGGTCTCTCATATTTCAGTTGGAGAAAATGTTAATAAAGGCCTACAATTACTGAAACGCTTGAAAAAATACATATACAATTAATATCAATTTTACTTCGTAAATTATCCCCTGTCACGGGATGTTCGGGAACGCGTCACAAGACAGAGAACTCACGTACTTCACGTAGCATGCTCTCTCTCTCTCTCTCTCTCTCTCTCTCTCTCTCTCTCTCTCTCTCTCTCTCGGTCTCCATCGGACCGATTTATTAGTGTGCAGAGACGGCCAAGGGGAAATAACTAGTAAATTTACTGAATGCTCGAAGAAGTTGTCGAGTTATTTTATCTTTGTTATGAAACTCATAATTGTCTAATAAAAGTAATATACGTCGTATTATAATTATTGTTGTTGTTGTTATTATTATCATTATTATTATTTTTACTTTTTATTATTTTTTAAAATCATTATTATTTACCTAATCTTTATTGTTATTGCAATAATAACATTGCAGGCCAGCTTCAATAAATGTACATATTATTTCTTTCCAACTTAGAAGTTGACGTGCGTAATATAATAACGAAGATAATTTCTATAGCGCCCACTCCTGTGTAAAATAATATACACAATGCAATTCGCAAAATACATAAATGGATACATAGTATAGTCATTTACGTAACATTGTACAGAACATGAATCAACTGACATAAAAATGATGTCAGTAAATGTGTCTTTAAAGACATTTTAAATTTAGACTCAGATGTTGTATATCTCAAGGGTTGGGGAAGAGAGTTCCAAACTGATGGAGCAAGGTGGGCCAACGATCTTTCAGCTAATTTCAGACAGAAACAGCGGGAGTGTAAAGACAAGAAGTCGGACCTGCATGTGGCACCCTCCAACCCCAGCCATCTGCTGCATATGATTAGTTTGATAAAACATTTTGTACAAGATATTATATTAGTATGTAAATATACTTGTACTCCTAATTTTCACATTTGCTGCTTCCATTTCCAGCACACACACACACACACACACACACACACACATATATATATATATATATACACATGTATATGTGTGTGTGTGTGATATGGTTCATGTATGTAGATTTAGTATATTTAGAGTTGCATACAGTACATATATAATTTAAGATAGATAGATAGATAGATAGATAGATAGATAGATAGATAGATAGATAGATACACATGTATATGAGTTGAGAGAAACGCATCGAGACAAGCAAGGACAGTCGTATGGTGCTCGGGAAATATAAAGATAAACAGTGGCGCCGTGCAATCACCCATTGGAATGTATAGATGGGCAATAGGTGGGTATAAAGCTCAAGTGACAGTTTTTTTAAAACATGTTAGAAGAAGTGAGAGGGTGATCGCATGCTTTTATACATAATACAAACCTAACCTGCAAATCCTATTTGTATCTGTTTCCACTAGGCTAAAACCCGAGAAGCAAATATTTTTGTCATCACGCCTCACAAACTTGCACTCTTCGCAGGTGCACCGAAAAGACGTGAATTATAGCCTAATACATGTAGTACCATATTATTTGAAAGTCTATTCAATATCTCCGTTTTTCTAATGGGGCTTTCTATCGCGCTGAGCCTTCATCAGCGTCGGAATGCAGTTTTTAAGTTGTCGAAGCTGATCATTATATATAGTGCACGGTCTAAAAGTCAATCAAATATAATTCAAGTCTGTGGGTTTTTATGACGAAGAGATAGTCAGTCATTCTTTTCACGGGCATGACACGATGTCTCACATCCTAAAACATCTGATTAAACAACAATTGAAAACTGCGTTAACCTCAGCTATAGAAGGTGTGAAAATCGTACATGTTTCCTATTTATGAGAAATTACATGACACATGTCAGCTGCGCCAGGGTAATTTCCTTCACGGGAGACACAAGACTGCCAGGTCAGAAATTTGGCTATCCGTGATAAGCAAAATGTTGGTATCTGTTGTATGTGCTGTAGGGGTGATTTTGCGGCAGTTTACAATTATATAGCCTCGACAATATAATATACATGTATTCGTCAATAGATCCCATTGTCGGTACTTTGAGTTTTAAAAAGCTAGACTACTAGCCTTACAGGTGAAAAATACTGAAATACAACATATCCATGCGGGTTGTCTAAGGGG